GTATTTCATGATGTGCAGATGCGTAGCTAAACCACACTCTTCCCAAGAAGCCTTCCTTCCCCCACCCTTGCTCATTTTTCTTCTCTAGTGGGCCACGTATTTCAGAGATTTTCTATTAGTTTTCTTTATTCTTCCCTTAAAAAAATAACAGAATCAGGATGTTTCAGTCCCCAGTGTTGAAACTGTATCTTACTCTTTTCAACAGTTTCTAGTCCATACCCTAGGACACGTGCAGAATGGAAACACTTTCCAAATGATTTCACACTCAAAGAATATTATCACTACTCACTTTCCAATTTTAAARGCATAAAGGTTCCCTACTTTTAATAACCTTATATGTGTGTAGCCTTCTTCTAGGCACTTTGATGAAGAGAAAATATTATATCACAGGATCTGTAATGTTAAGAAATAAGAAATTCTCCAAGTGTCTGCCTTCCCACTATTCTGATTTTATCCAAGGGTCTTGGCACTCAACCTTGACTCTGGAATACAGACCCGGTTCAAATCTCTACCAATGAATTAGATCAACAGTTGCCTTGTAGCTTCAYCCCTATCATCCCCCCATTTATCACAGGTTTTAGCTCCTGGCTCATTCTTACTTCTCTCTTCTCTTTCAGTGATTTCAATATACACAACAGATTCTTCCCACCCAGGCCTCTTGGTGCATTGACCTCCTCCTCTGTCTGTAATGACCTTGTCCTCAATTTTCCTCATTGGAGCTCAATATCGATGGAGGAGTAGGATTCTGATTAACCCCCTGCAGTCTTCTCTTAGGTCACTACCTCTTTCATCCTTACAGCCTACTCTCCCTGATATTTGATCTCAACAACGCTTCAATACCTGGGTCTTCCAATCCATTGACCAGACTACCTTTTAATGACCTTCATCCTGTATTAAATTCTAAGATCAATGATTGTAATTATGCTCTTGCCCTTCTTGCTTTGCTCTGACTAAAYACATTTCTGTTCTCCTCACACTAAAAGTGGAATGTGGCTAAAAGGAAATTCACAACCAAACTGATGGGCCTAATTTCAAATTCATGACCTTAATGTGGTCTGATGGTCATACCTCAGTCCAGCCATTCTTGTAATCTCTAGAATTTCATACTTTCTTCTCTCTCCTCAGCCTTCTACTGCTTCTTGCTCTATCCTCATGCTCACTGACAGTCTTGCTTTCTCCTTTACTGAGAACACTGAAGCCATCAGAAGAGAATTTCACAGATCTCACTATCACTCCCACCCACCTACTAGCATACACACCCTCACACTTTGCCTTCCTGCTGATTCCAGAAGTAAACATGCCATGTTTCTATCTAACGATGACTCCTCCTCCTCCACTTAGGCCCTAGATTTTGTCTCCTCTTATCTATTCAAGAATATCCCTCCAATAATCCTGCTTTGTATCTCCTACAACATTACTTTTTACTCCCTACTAGAGTACTCACATCAGCATATACACATACTTCTTTGTCTTTCATTTAAAAAATTTTTTCTTTGACTCAAGTTTCCCCACCAGCTATCGTCCCATTTCTTTGAAGCAAAATCTCTTAAAAGAATTATGTATACGTTCTCCTTCTTTCATTTTCTTTTAAATCCATTAGAGTTGAGCTGTTAACCTGAACACTGCACTAAGAGAGTTCTTGTCATCACTCCATTTCTTTGTTTTTGTTTGGAGCAAATTCCTTGCAAGAATTATGGATATCTACAGTCTCAAATTTCTTTCCTTCCATTCCCTTTAAAACCCATTCCACAAATCAGGAGTCTAAGCTACTTGGGAKGTTGAGGTAGGAGGACCACTTGGGTTCACAAGTTTGAGACCAATGTAGGCAACATGGCGAGATTCCATTTTAAAACAAAACTGATGTTCCAACTCCTACCATGCCACTGCAAGTGCTCTCCATCAGTCATCAGCAATTCTTTTGTTGTAAAATCTGATGGTCAAGTCTCAGACTTCATCCTCTCTGACCTATCAGCACTACATGACACAGTTAAACACCTTCCTTTCCACATTTAGATTCCAGCTCACAGCACACTCTGGGCTTTCCTCCCACCTTCAGGGATTCTCTTCAGTCTCTTTTGCTGGTGTTTCTTCTTCCTGACCTTGTAAATTAAGAGGATACAGGCCTCTGTTTATCCACACTCACATCCTTGGTAACCTCCTCCATCCCCCTGGCTTCAAACAGCATGTATGCTGATTATCCCCATCCTATACCTCTCCTGAGCTCCAACTCATAATGTCCACTCGGTATTCAGTTCTGTTGCCTAACAACTMCTCAAATTTAATATGTCCAAAAGCAAGGGATTTTCCTGCAAAGATCTGTTCCATCACCACCTTCCACATCTCTGTTTTTAGCAACCCCATCCTACCAGTTGCTCAGGTCGAAAATCTTGAGAATCATCTTTGATTTCTCTCCTTCTCGTAGACCCCAATTCAATTCATCATGAAACCATTCTGACTGTATCATCATACTATACAGACCATTCACCTCCATTGCCATCACGCAGTCTGAGGAACATCTTTTACCTGTATTACTATGATAGCCTTCTCACAGGTGTCCTTAAATCTACCTCTGCTTCCACACTAATTTTCACTCAGGAACGAGAGTGATCCATGCAAAACATAAGTCAGGTTTTGAGTTCTCTGCTCAAAGTCCTGCAGTGGTTTACCATTTCACTAAGAATAAACCCACATTTCTTGCAACAGTATCCACCCCCCTCCTTGATGTTAGCCTTCATCATTTACTCACCCCAGCACAGTGGCTGCCTTGTTCCTGGATCACCCTAGGCATGTTCCTATCTTAGGGTCTCTGCTTAGCTCTTCTTTCTTCCTGAATGCTTTTCTCCAGACTTCCACTTAGCTCACTTCCTCAACTTCTTGGCTTTCTGCTAAAAATCTCATCTTTTTAATGAGACTTCCTCTGACCATCTAATTAAATACTACAATCTGCYCTTCACTCCCTATTCCAAGAACTCTCAATTTCCTTATTCTATTGTGTTTTTTCTGTAATATTTAAATTTTCTAACATGTTATATTGCTTACCTGCTATTTTTGTTTAYTATATTTCTCCCTGCTAAAATGTAAACTCTTAAAAGGGAAAAATTCTTTGTTCTGTTCATTGACATATATGAAGGGGCTAGGAGTGCCAGGCACACAGTAGATACACAATAAATATTGGTAGAGCAGTTTAAAATTTAAAAAGACTTTATGTGCTCCTTGAAGGGTTGGTAGTATTTCTCAGAATCTTTTTTTTTTTTTTAATCTCCAAAGGGATTAATTGAGTGGTAATTGAAATGGTAGGGTTTGGTTGGAGGAGGTGGGAATTGGGGTGTGGCTTTGGGGTATATATATATATTTTTTAAGTCACATCTTATCATTTTTTTTTCAGAATCATTTTAACCTCATGCTATTTCTGTAGACTTTTCCCCCACACTTCTGATTCAATTTATTTACAGTCTCTAGGTCTATTCAGTTTTTCTATTGCACTTCAGTCAGTGTTCGTGAGTTATAAATGTCTATGAAGTCATATATTTCATGTAAGTTTGAAAACACAATGGCATGTTTTCTTAAATTTCTTTAAAGCACTACTGTGACTGTAGTTTTCATTCCAAAACTTGCTTATTTGTTTTCTCTTGTTCCTTCTATTATCAATCTTTGATTGTTTCATAAATTTCTCCAATTACCATTACCTTTCTCTCTTCAGCCAAACTCTGTTGGTCTTTTACAGTGCTCACCAAAATTTCCAGTTTCCTTCTTCTTACAGGCTCAGGGGAGAATTATTAACATCCCTGCCCGCCACCCCACCTTGGAGTCAGGCAAAGGCATATYGCTGATTCTGGCTAATGGTATATACCACATCTGATGGACAGATTTAAAAACCTATGCATATGTAAAGCATTGTCTTTTCAATAAACAGTGCTAAGTCAATTACATATTCCTATGGGGGAAAATTATGATCCTTATCACACCATTTACAAAGATCAGTTCCAGATGGATGGCAGACATGTGAAAGATCTTGGAGAGGTTAGAATTCTTAAATAGGGCAAAGAAAGTACTAACTTAAAGAGGGAAATGATAAATTGGAACATATTAGGGTTAAAAATGTTTACTCTTCAAAAAGTACCATTAAGATAGTGAAAAAAACAACCCACAAAATGGGAATATCTGCAATACACATGGCTGAAAAGGGGCTATCAAACCTATACGAAGGATTCTTAGAAATAATGTGAAACAGAATATCCAATAGAAATATGRGGAGAAGACACAGGCATTGCCCAAAAGAAGTTATCCAACCAACCAGAAAACATAAGAAAYGTTTTCAATTCAACAAACATCAGGTAAATGCAAATTAAAACCAAGTGACACCATTACCCATAGAAAGGCTAAAATAAACACAGATGGTCCTGGAGGCGACTCTCGAGAGACTTAAGAGACACAGTTGCAAGACTATGGAGTGGGTGTCCTGAGACTGAGCGGTGGGCCGTGCAACTGTCAGTGGGTTGGTGGGTTTCAGGAATGCTTCATCTGGAAGGAACCCTTACTGGCCTGGGGTCTGGCTGCTATCAACATGAGCACCGTGGATGGGATCAAGAAGACCCCACTCCTCCAAGTCCACAGCTGTGCCACTCCCGATGTGGGCTTCACCCACATCAGTGTCAGGGACCCTATGAGGACAGTGAGACACCTAGTAGTGGCAGAGATGGGTGACAGCAGATTGGAGGCCAACATATTCACACCACTGGGACTTCCAAACTGGAGGGAGGGCGCATCTGGGACACTGCAGGCAGTGGCAATACTCCTTAGATCCTAATCTATGGGGGTCATGGTCATGGAGTCACCACAATGGGGCAGGAAGTGGCACGGTCACCCACCGAGAGCCTGGAAACAGCCTCGACCTCTGTTGCAACTGATGGAAGCCTAACTTTCATGGTTAAGAGACACTTAGCCCAAGTGGGAAGAAGGCCCTAGAAACTTATGGCACAGAGAGGGCAGCCTCTGAAATGATGGCCAGGTCCAAAGACGTGAAGACTAAAAAGTGTGCTCTCTTAGTAACAGGGTATGAGAAGCAGATTGAGAAAACTGCAAGTCAAGAAACGCAAATGCAGGAGGAAAATGGAGGAATAAAAGAGGTGAAAGAGGAGGCAGGGTCCCGTCTCCTGAATGTGGAGCCCAATATGAACCCTCTGGAGGCCATCGGGCTGGAACTGGACACTGCCAATGCTCAAGCTAACTAAGCCTTCCAACAGCTGGAGCTCAAGCTTGGGTGGATGCGTCAATAAGACCTGGAGCTGAGAAACTACATCATTCAGAACACCACTCTTCAGAACCACCGCAGCTGTATCCAGTGATTAGGACCCAAGATGAAGAGATGTTAACCAATATGACCAATCTGGAGGTGAAGGAGCTCACAYACCATAGGACAAGTTGCAAGTTCAAGTTCTTTCAAAGAAATCCCTTCTTCAGAAACAAACTGATTATCAAAGAGTATGAGGTCGAATCCTCTGGCCAAGTGTCTCTCATTGTGCTCTGATCATATGGCTCAAGGGCCATGAACCATAGGTTGGGAACCCAGATGTCCTCATCAACTTCTTCACCTGGTTTTCAGACCACAGTCATCCAGAGTTCGACAGAACTTTTGAGATGATCAAAGAGAACTTCTGGCCAGATTCCCTAGAATACTACCTGTTGCATAGAGAATCAGAAGTCACCAGACAAGGAAGCCAGTAGAGATACCCAGGTCCTTTGGGTTCTAATCTGGAATCTTTGCACTTGGGATTACTCCCCACAAGATCCTGTACCACCACCTCCTCCTGCTGGACCTATGATTATTGATGTGCCTTTTACTTTTGTATATGTGTGTATGTGTATGCTGACCTTTCTATACCATTTTTTAAATGTTTTTTAGCTGTAGATGGACACAATACCTTCATTTTGTTTGTTTAGKTTTTTTAGGCAAGGGTTYTACCACTGAGCCACAGCCACAGAAAACTTTGTTTTCTCTCAGCCTCAAGATTGACAACTTCTTAGCTGTGCTGCTGAATTTGCACATGTTCTTCATGCTATTTTGCATTAACATCACATGATGTCTGGCCATATATGGTTCACACCTTTTTTAACCAAGCAGATGATGCTATAGATTGCACTGTTTGGACTCTACTTGTTTGCAGGGTTTCTGTTCTCTATATTACCATCTGGATTTCTAGCTATGTGTAGGCGCCTACTCTATGCACTCTTCTCTGGATTTGGCAGCATAGGCTCATGGCCTGTGGACAATTACTGGGCATTARGTCCAGTGAGAAAAACAGTGGTCTGTGTGATTTATGTGACTTCACTGTTCTTCCTGTTTCTCTGATCACCTATTGCTGCCTGCTGCTGGCTATCCTTACCCCTTTGGGCTACTGAATAAATAAATTCCAGATTGTTCTCAGCTCTGCTTTCTGGTTTCTGGTAAACAAGAATTTCTAGAACTGGTGATGGGCCAAGATTTTCTGCCAGAATACAAAAGACTTTTCCATTCCTTTTCCAAAAGATCTCTCCAATTCTTTACAACTACCACCAACCACCTTCATCATCCAGAAACCCTACTGTTAGACAAGTGGCTGGGGTGACAATTTAGAACCGTATTTTCATGTCAAAGGCAGTTAATGGTGTCTTGGTCRAGTTCCAGATTTTCTCAGCTCCAACCAGTGAATTCATACAAATTTAGGTTATCTTTATTTGTCCCTCTTCCTTAGTCTGAAAATGATTAGGTGCCAGATGTGCCAGGGTACATACACACTTATCTTTAACCTCTTTTTCTCATGTCTCTTTTTTGAAAAAGTGGTGGTTCAAAAACACTGGCAAAAGTAGGCTTTATAGTGTAACTTAGCTCTRTCATTTCCAGAGGCTGAGAGGTTGTCCTGTAAAATCGACTGCCAGAGGCCCTACTGCCTACTCTRCTTTCTTCCCAGATTCAGTAATGCTTAGAAGGTTAAAAAAGATACMGATCTAGAGAGAATAAAAGGTGATTTCAAGTTCAGAGAGGTTTGTAAGGCTAAAGAGACTAGTGGGTGTTCTAAGCAGAGAAAACTGAACAAAAAGGTCAGAGGTAAAGCAGAAATTAATTAGCCAGGGGAAAACTGGGACTAAAAATAAGACTAGTTTGAATGAGAGCCTGTGAGGAAGAGGTATTTACTCTGTTAGTGGTAATGGGAGGAGAAATATTTCTCTCAGGATTGGGATAGAAAAACTGAAGGTGATTGGAGTGTTAAATATGTTAGCAAGAGAGGCATTCTTTAAAGAAACACAATTGTCTTTGGGTGTTTTTCTGTGGCCTTAAATTATGTAGAAGATTAATACTGTGCCCCTTAATTTTACTATGCTTAGTAAACTCCTGTTTCTCTATTCTGCTTATTGGGAAGGTTGAGCTATACCAATTTATTTTGCTTGTAATTAGGAATAGTTGGAAGAATATCTTTTCCGTACAATATAAGGAATTATGTGAATATTCATAACAATTTTCATCTTGTTTTGGTTTCTGTTGAAACTGTATCCCCCCAAAATTTAATTTGAATAACTTGGTCTTGTCAGAACCAGAAAACTGGAAATTATTGTCTTTGTGGAAAAATAACCTACAAAAAGTTTGTGGCTCTAATTGAGTGTCTTATTTGATTTTTTGTCCTGATAACAGCACAGTAATTGATGTGTCTCTTTCCTAAACAGCATAAATGCTTGTAATATTGCCATATTTGCCTTTCTTTATATGCTTGATAATAAAATAAAAACATTCTACTCTTAAGAAAAAAAAAAAAGGATAGAAAATAAGCTGGATACAAAGTACACAGAGAAGCCAGAAGACTCATTTTCTGWTAGGGAGAGAGTAGTCTAGTGCAAATACTTTAGAAAATTGTTTGGCAATATCTATGCACACCCTCTAATCTAGCTCTGGGAAAATACTCAAMAGAAATGAATACATATATTCACCCAAAGACATGGATAAAAGTTTTTATTAACAGAATTAGCACAATTGTAATACCAGACACTGGGAAYTGCCCCAATGTTCATAAATAGTAGAAAAAAAKTTTTTTCCTTGCTTTTTTTTTTTTCAGGATAAAGGATCAAACTCAGGGCTTTGTGCATGCTASCAAAATAAGTTTTTAAATATTCACACAATGGAAGGATATGAGAAATAATCATGCTTAAATGAAATAATATTAATAAATCTAACAAATATRATGTTGGATCTCAGAAGATAAACATGAAAGTACATGCTACATAATTCCATTTATATATGAAGTTTAGGAACAGATAAAACCAACATGGTAGTAGAAGTCAGAATAGTGACTACTACCAAGAACAATGAAGGGTCTCAAACTACCCCCTACACGTAAGCCAACAAGTTAAGCTTCTTAGTTAATGRATGCTAGATCAGATGAAAAGACCTTGTAACTCAGTATTGTATCAGTATTTACACCAACTTCCTGAGCTCTAATTCCCATGAGGGAACACGAAGAAAGCCAGGTGATACTGGTGCACATACAGAATTATATAATAGGAAAGGAATCCTGAGTTTAGGGAACATGAATGTTTGTTTTCAAGACAGACATTATCTTTATTATTCTGAATAGTAAATAAACCTGTCACTTTTTCCTTTGTAAGAGAGACAATCTACTTTTTGAGCTTATAAGCAAGGCTGCTTTTTGCTCTGAGGAAGACACTATCTTCTAAGCTGTTCACAGATATCTTTGAAAAGATATTCTGAACACTGTCAGTCAGTGCCTCTGTYTACAAGATTGGCAAAAACATGGGAGACACATGGAGACCTGTCTCCCAATGTTTACTTTGGGGTGTAAGTAACTATTGACTGGAAGGTAATATATGGGGATAGTGGATTCTAAAGGGCTGGTAATGTTTTGTGTCTTTATTGAGGTGCTGGATATATGGGCGAATATATTTCAATTTGTGAAACTTCATTGAGTTATACATTTGGTAAACACTTTTCTGTATGTATATTATACTTTAATAAGCAAAGTAAGCAAAAAAAAAAAAGGTCAAAAGAAAACCAAAAGAACCCAATTATTTTTGTTGAACCTCTGTGCTAGAAAATAGTCTACTTAAAATTGTGTTTCAGATCTCTTTGGGTAGGCCAAGAATCCACGGATGAAAATGCTAATAGGATCATTTGCTGTGCCACATTCAAATGGCCAAATTCCATTTCCTAAGAATGAAAATGCTCAATTTTCTAGGCATGGATCATYAATTTTTAGTATTTACAGTGCTTTGCTCATTTAGTTGTAAACAGTTCACTAATAATGGCTTGTGATGCTTCATTTTCAAAGYTCAGTTCTTCCAATGAAATAAATAATAAAATCCACATATTACTTAGTTCTCTTGTTTAGCAAAGATAATGCCACCCTAAAGACTGGCTCTAACATATACTTATTTTTTAAGATGGTCTCTATTTTAAAGTTTATGTTTGCTGTTTTCAGGCTTCCCTCTTTGAGGTACAAATATTTTACTTGATAAGAGTTAAAAACATTTCAAACTGCATCTTTGACACATTCAGAGAAGACTATAGCATTAATAGCAACAAATCTGTATAACCCAGGGATGATGGTGCATACCTGTAATACCAGCAATTTGGGAGACTGAGGAAAGAGGATCACAAGTTCAAGACCAGCCTCAGCAACTTAGTGAGGACTTAAGCAACTTAGTGAGACCTTGTCCCAAAATAAAAAATAAAAAGGGCTGGGGATATGATTAAATGGGGTGCCTCTGGGTTCACTCCCTAGTAGCCCCCTTCACCTATTAAAAAAAAAAATCTTGTGTAGAACTGCAATGAAATCATTTGGTTTGGCTTATTTGAACAAAATATTTCCCAGTTTTGTATATAGCAAGTTGCCTGGGAGATAATAAGGGTAATTCAGTGTTGAAAATGCAATAGAGTATTTTTGTTGTTTTTTTGTTTTGTTTTCTTGACTTTTCTTTCCTTTTCTTTCTTTTTTTTTTTTTATAATTCCTTCTACCAATTCATGTCACATATTTTAATTTTAAATGGCATCCATATGGATGGCTTTTTCACCTAATTCCCAATGACAAAATTTTCACTTGAACAAACTACTTAATCCCAAGGACACAGTTTTAGTCATCTTTTCAATAAAAGGTCTGAAACACAATTTTTTCTAAATCTGAACTTTTACCTACCTTTAAATATAAGTTTTTTGGRGGTTGGGGATGTGGCTCAGTGGTAGATCACTTGCCTAGCATGTGTGAGGCACTGGGTTCAATTCTCAGTACCACATACAAATAAATAAAAATAAAGGTCCATTCACAACTAAAAAAAATTTTAAATATAAGGTTTTTTTTACATGTTTCGATTGCCTCCTCTGGCTTTCTTTCTCTGTATTGTTCCCAATTGGCRTTGCCACAGCCAGAGCTTCTGCCATCGCCTCTGAGATAAGGATTCTTAAATTAGAATCTCTGACCCTTACTCCACATGTTTCCTGACATGTCCATTTAAACAGTATTTCCAGAATCKCTCCCTTTCTTTCCATATCTACTTTTACCTTAATATCTTTTATCTACATTACTGGAAATCTCCAGACTGCCCTTCCTGAATTTCCCCTCTTTTCCCATCATTTGCACTATTATCAAAGTGATCAGGTATCTTCTGTTMAAATGTCCTTATCAAGGCAGCAATGCCAGCAGCTACAACCAAGCCCTGCCTAACATTCTCACCAGAGTACATTCACACATAYTCTTCTGCCTCTRTGCCTTTGCTCATGACATTCCTTCACCCTGAATTCTCTTGCCCTCTTCCTTACCTATGGAAATCCTACCATTCCTT